CTGATCTTTTCGAGGTCTACAAGCCTAACTTGCCCTAGCGGCCGCACTGCTACCACACATCAACCCTTCTATGACCCTGTATTTGCCCATCGTCTTGTCGCAGGCAGCCCTCAGGGCCTATGAGTGGAGATACCTGTTCCGACTACAGAAGTACAAACGTCTCTTTCTGCAACTTCTTTCTTTCCCGCATTCTCTGCTCCTCCCTGATTATTTTTTTTCCTGAAAGAATAAGAGCTACACCCAAAGGGGTTGAGGCGGTTTCTTACGGTTTGAAAAATTCCAGTTGCAAACTTGAAATGTTCAATTCCCAGCCGAACAGAGCCTCTTACGGTTTCTAAAATCGATTTTTTTGGAGAAATAAATTTTAACCTTGGGCCAAAAATAATTGGAACCGCTCTGCGCAATTGAAAGTTTCACAATTTTTCGAGTCGCGACCGAGTTGAAAAAGCTAGTTGGAAATCCAAACCTAGGAGGGGGGGTGCATCAACCAAACCCCCCACCACACCTGCTTCGGTCGCTGGAAGCACCCGTCTGTGCACAACAGCGCACCACAAAGCAGCACAACACAGCACAGCACAGCACAGCGCGTGACAGCCTAGCACAGCGCCTCACGCGCAGACCCGGTGCTTTGTTGTCAGCGCGGTGCGCCCGATATGGGGACCGGCGACGATCGGTTGGAAGCAACAGTACTGTCAGTCGCGTTGGCGGCTTTGCACCAGATCCACGAAGAGGATGGTCGCCGGCGCACAGCACGCTCGGTATCCTTTTGGGATGCTGTGCCGCTCGCGCGCTTGATCACGGAGCACGCGTACCAGATGGCCGCGTTCTGAAAGAAGTTCACGTTTTTGGCTATCGCCTTGTTGCAACCGAGTGTCGACCGCAGCAGCGCATCGGAGTAGTTGTTCGCGCCTTGCAGCAGCAGTGGTGGTTCCACTAGCGGCATGATGTTGCGTGGTTTGACTAGCGGCATGATGTTGCGTCGTCTGGCGGGGGTGTAACTCTGAACCTCCCCCCCCCCCTGTTTTTAGCGTTTCCAATTCCGTCGATCCGTAAGAACGCTGCTCTATTTTACAGTGAGATTTTCCGAGCTGGATCTGGGAATAAATTGAAATTTTCAGCAAACCGTACGAAACCGCCTGAGGGTGATTTCAACATTTATTTTCCCAAAGATACGGAGACCATACACATGGGTCTTAAACTCTTCTTGTGTATTAATCACTGTACCTACGTGATTTCTTCGAGTGCAGCAGAGTGCTCAGTATAGAGTACGTACGTCTTTGAAAGACACGCACCGCGATGTCACGCCACGAGTTCAAGCCTGGGCTGGTAGCTCTTTTATCCGCCGTTTTTCGGCACATCTTCATGTCCATGTAGCGTTTGTTCAGAGCTCCCTACGTTGTCCATCAATGTGCATGTCGGAGTATGTAGTTGGTGTACATGAAGTGTTGTAGTTCATACACACGAAGTACTTCCGCTTCTTTCAGAAATACCACGTGGACTACGGTGTTACGTACTCGAAGTGTATTGTAATCGCTCTAGGTACTGCAGTAGTTTGTCGGGTCACTTCATTTCTTGAAACCACAGTATATATTTCGTCAAGTTACAATCATCGCTGTCGTCAAAAATGTTCCACTAATACGTACATGTATCGACTATTTCCGCATCGGATGAAGAATGTGGATTGGTCACGCGCGCCTTGATTGTTGTATGGGACAACAAATGGTGTGAACTCGGAGTTTCTTACGTGACTTATTATACTGCCCACAATATGAAATCAATGGTCGAGACCATTGTACTACGTCGTGCAACACGAAAATGTTTGACAGCATCAGGACCCTAGCCGCGCAGCACACGTCGGCCGTTCCCGCAGACGTAATGTGGATATATCTCGAATGGGTATTCGTTCCATGTTTGTATTTTTGTTTCCTACGCTACCTCCCCTATGCCCCCCCCCCCTACTGGGGACGGGAGGGCGCAATGCTTCACCCTTCCTTCTGTGACCTGTCGCTCTTCGGGAGCGTCTTCAGGTATTTGCGGCTTCATCGCGTCTATCTCTATACTGATACACCGTCCCTTATTGCCACACCTACAGTGTCGTTTTCCTTTTTCCTATTCTTAAGTTTCTCCCAAGACCCTCACCGCCATCCGTCCGGATGTTGGCCGTCCTCCCCATTGGGTGGCGGGATGCCAATGCTTAATTCTAGGTCCACTGTCAGTGTCAGCCTACCACGGGCAAACAGATACCATAGCCAATAGCTCAGAGGTGAACAGCTCAGGAATAGGGCGCATGTAAAAGGTTCCGGATTGTAACCGCGTGACATAGTTTTTTGTTTTTTTGTGTTTGTTTTTCTCCAATCATTGGACACTGTCAACAACATATTCGCCTGATTGAGAGCGAAGTATCTGATTGAGAGCGAGAGCCAAAAAAATTGAAATTTCGGGTCCAGACGCCTCTTGCCATTTCTTGGCAAGTAGGGGACGGGCTATTCCAAGAAGCGGTGCAAATTGAAGGTCTCATCAGCAGCTTCGCGAGCATATGCGTGTCATCGTCATCGGATGCTGCAGCGAGGAGCTAGACAAGTTGCTAGATTTGCCCAGATTGGCTATTTCTGCTCAAACTGTTTCAGGGCGGTATCGCGTCGGGCGGTGGGCTCTGCTGTAGCTTCTGCTCCCCGCTGTAGCTCCACAACGAGAGACTCCCACAGGATGACCAGGGTAGCGGCTTGAAGCTACGGGCTAGCCCTTCAATTCAAGCTACACAGCAAGCTCCACCTCTCAGTGGTAGTCCGGCTACAGCGTATCGCGCAATCTCGCACTCAATCAGATGCTACGCTCTCAATCAGGCGAATATGTTGTTTGTCGTCTGCCCCTCTGGCCCCTATCCTCCACTTCTACTAGCTAGACGACCCAACCGGGGTCACATGGGAGGGGGGGGTCGGACCCCCTCCTGCGGTTCATGCCTGAGCTATTTTTATCGCGAGAAGGGTATAGCAATCCCTTCCCTCGCGACTTACGAAGTCGATTATGGTTTACGAGCTTTGCAGCGCGTCGCTTTCATCCTAGACCAGGATTTACTTAGTGAAAAAAATAACTCTCTCTGCCGGGACTCGAACCCATGACCTGGCCCGTGGCAGGCTGCGAGGCTACCACCTAGACCACCGGGGCGACCGGGTAGAAGAGTGATTGATGCCGCGTGTGTCCAGCAAACTTGTCGTAGTAGCCATCAAATACAACAATGTGCGCGTTTTTGGTTGTTCATCTTTCATATTGTGTGGGCGCAAGGGTTGTTGGAGATCTTAACCTCGATGGCGCACGATGTTAGAAAAGCGTTGTATGGCAGCACAGTTTGGTGGAACTGCACGAGCGGCGAGTGCGTGATGGCCTGCACGTCTTAACGAAAATGCGAGCAGACAAAAAAAGCGCAAAACGGTCACGCGCGTGACGTCACACTCTCTTTCTTTTGAAGAGATTCCAAAAAGGAGCAGAGAGAGGCACAGCAAGCAGTATTATGTACATTTCCCCCCTTTCATGTACGTCTCGAGCATAGAACTATCTTTGATTTCTCACCCATACAGACTTAGGTTAACATCATGTCGGAAGCCTGAGACCCAAAACTTTAACAATTGTTGCACTCTAAAAGCAAGAAGATTTTTTTCGGTGCATCAGTCCGCGGTGACTTTTGATTTATTTTTTCGGTGGTCGTTGCATGCTGCAGCGGGGGGACAGTATCTAGATCACAGCGCCTCTGTCGCGATCTCGACACCTCAAAGGCGAGTAGAATTACAACACGGTGAATGCACGCAACCACATTTTGAATCGTTGAGCTAGACGTTGCGGTGCATTAAATCGGTTTCAATTGCTTTGGAATACGGTTTCATCTTTTTTGCGGCTGTCTTCGCCGACGTGGGTTTGCCAATCTTACGATCACAGTGCCCCTGTCGCGACCTCGAGCCTCCAAGGGCGAGCAGAGTAACAGCACCGTGAAGCACGACTTGACCTCCTGCAGATCCGGGCGCTTCTACGCAGGGGACTGTCTGTCAATAGAATAACGCAGCCCATTCGACAAGATTTCGGAGAACCCCGCGTAGTCTTTACTACAGTACATGTAAAGCAGGAGATATTGATCAGCCAGACTGCTGACCGTACGTGGCATGCATGTTGTTGTTGTGTTGTTGTTTCTCACATTTAGTCTCTCGTCCGCAAAAAATCGGTAACCCGTGGTCTCAAAACCCGGCATATACGGCGCCACGGGGAAACAGAACAAACATAGGGTACAAACCACTCGGAAAAAGAAAACAAGATGATAAAAAGAAAAGGACAGGTATCGCACCGACCGTTCGAGGAATGAGCCCTCAGAAACCGATCAAACCTAAAACACAAACAAAAATAAAGGAGGACGCTTCCCACACCCGCCCAAACAAAAAATCAAAGGGTAGCGTACCAGCACCAGGCACAACCGTGGTTCCGTACCCTCATTGCCTCGTTTGTCCTGTTTCTCCGCCGTGACCGGCAGACAGCCAGACGTACAAAAACAAAGGCAACAGCGAAGCGAGATCTGTGTGACCACGGGTTGGAGTAAACGGCACTTCTCGTGCCGTGAGGGCTGATTTGAAGAGAAGAAAAAAAACAAAAATTCACCAAGACTAAACGTTTCGCGTGTGCTTCGAGTTCTTCGATCATACTGCATCCATCCGTGCATAGCTCACGGAACTGCAAGAAAGTTAGTTTGTCCCCTGCAAAACTGCAAACGACACAGCACTGTTGAGAAGGTGCTGCTGTACTGTAGCCCATACACTACCTACCTCTCATGTTCGGATGAACGTTTGTGCGGTTTGCCACCTACAATAAATACACACGAATAGTTGTTGTTGTTGTTTGTTGTTGTTGTTTGTCACATTAGCTCTAGAGTCCACCGAACATGGGGAGCCCATGGTCTCAAAACCCGGCACATAAAACTCCACGGGGAAACAAAACAAACATAGGGTACAAACCACTAGGAAAAAGAAAACAAAATGATAGAAAGAAAAGAACAGGTATCGCACCGACCGTTTGAGAAATGAGCCCTCAGAAACCGATCAAACCTAAAACAAAAACAAGAATAAAGGAGGACGCTTCCCACACCCGCCCAAACAAAAAATCAAAGGGTAACGTACCAGCACCAGGCACTACGCACCAGGGCATGGAAGTAACGGAGCAAACAGGACAAAGAGGCGGCAGATGGGCAGACAGCCAGACGTGCAAAAACAAAGGCAACAGCGAAGCGAGATCACGGTACCCAACACAGCAGAGTAGGCAGGGAGGTCATGAAAAAAAGAAACACAGAAACACAGCACAGAGGCCGAAGGCAATACAAAGGACAGACATAAAGGAGTAGAGCATACAACAGGGAGGGAAACAGGGCGCAACAGCATCAGCCGGGTACATAGTTCACCACGAGTGCTGCCTCGGTCGCCCTACTCGCTTCTACAGCAGTGCCCGGTCGCTATTTCGTCCCCCCCACCACCGCTTCCNAGGAACTGGCGGTGGGTCCCATTGAGCTTCGTGTAGTGCTCCGCTGTTAGGCCCCACGAGGGGCAACCATACAGGAGAGTCTCCACCACTTCAGCCTAGAGTAGCCGGATCGTGACCTGGCGGTTGGCCCGTCGCCTGTCGTACATCGAAGCACTGTTCGGGCGGTAGCACTGCCACGCTCGGCAGCTGCGGCTCGTGATCTCCCGGTCGGCCTTCCCGTCCGCGGAGATGGTACGTACGAGGTACACAAACCGATCTGTCTGCTTGTACGTCTGGCCGGCGGCGCTGACCGTGANACACGATGCCCGACATCATCTGCTCGAGACTCTCTCGCGAGCGCGAGACGATGGCGGCGTCGTCAGCGTAGCGCATGGCCAACAGGGCCTCCGCGTCCGTCACCACCATCGTCTTCTTCCCCGCCGACCTGCCCTGCTTGCCCGTGTACTCCACTTGTGTCCCGATCTTGACCATGTCCGCCGTCACCTTGGGGTCCTTGTCGAACTCGGCCACGGCGACCATGAGTATCGCGGCAAAAAACAAATTCAACAGCAGCGGGACCAGGTTGCATCCCTGCCAGAGGCCTTGGCCCACGTCGAACCATTCCGAGTACTGCCCGTCGTCCGTTCGGACGCGCGCCCTCATGCCCTCGTGGAAGTGGCGAATGACCGCCAGCATCTTCGGGGGCACGCCGAAGCGTCGGGGCACATCCCACAGTAGGTCTCGGTCCACCGAATCGTATGCCTCGGTGAGGTCGACGAAGCACGCGAACACCGCAGTACTCTTCTTCCTCGCGAGCTCATGGAGCCGCTGGATGGCGAACAGCATGTCNCCTTGGGGTCCTTGTCCAGCTCGGCCACGGCGACCATGAGTATCGCGGCAAAAAACAAATTCAACAGCAGCGGGACCAGGTTGCATCCCTGCCAGAGGCCTTGGCCCACGTCGAACCATTCCGAGTACTGCCCGTCGTCCGTTCGGACGCGCGCCCTCATGCCCTCGTGGAAGTGGCGAATGACCGCCAGCATCTTCGGGGGCACGCCGAAGCGTCGGAGCACGTCCCACAGTAGGTCTCGGTCCACCGAATCGTATGCCTCGGTGAGGTCGACCAAGCATGCGAACACCGCAGTGCTCTTCTTTCTCGCGAGCTCATGGAGCCGCTGGATGGCGAACACCATGTCGAGCGTCGACCGGTGTGGGCGGAAACCGCTCTGCTCCTCCGGGAGGATGCCCTCTCGCTCGCAGTAGTGGCTCAGTGGTGTAGCAACGACCGTGAGCAGCACCTTGCCGGCGTGTGCGACGAGGGAGATGCCCCGGTAGAGTCCGCACTCCATCGTGTCCCCTTCTTGAAAAGCACTTTGATGGTGGCATCCTTCCACTGCTGTGATACGTCCCCAGTCTGCCACACGTCCACGACAATGGCGTGGAATTCGCGGAGGAGACCTTGATCTCCGTCCAGGAAAAGCTTGATCAGCTCAGCCGGTAGGTCGTCCGGCCCGACGGCCTTTCCGTTGGCCATATCCCGTACCGCTTCCTCAACCTCAAGTAGAGATGGCATGACGTCGAGTGGCTCGCACGTGGGCCACCGCTTGACCTTGTCAGCCGCATGCAGGTCGATGGTCGGCGACTTGGTGTTGAGAAGCTTGTGGAACCACCGTGCCCACCGTTGGCGAATAAACGTGGGGTCCCGAAGGACCTTGCCGTTCTCCTCCTTGATGTTCTGAGAGGTGTACGACCGCTTACCTTCGACGTCGATCACCTTCAGGTGCCTGTCAAAACTCGCCTGGTCCCCGTCGCGGCTCTTCTTCTCGAGCTGCCGTACATAGCCCTCGAAGAACGTTTCCAGTGCTCTCCACCTCGCGATGCTGCGCT